AAAGCGTTCCAACGAAGCATAAGTATAAGATGGATATCAGTTTCTACTTTTCTGTCGCTGTATTGTTGCTTGTATTTCTAGTTTGACATTAGTAGATAACACAGTGTTTGGAACATCACGTCTAAGGCCATAACAATGATTTGAAAGGAAAGTCACTAGGAATCCGACAAAAAAAAAATCATAATAATTTGAAGTTCAAAGAGAATCTAAGCAAATTTGAATGGGTGTTAAGGCTTCATTTGTGAGGTTTTTATTGTTCTTTAAACGAGTTTTTGTTTAAAATTAATTTTGTTTTATTAAAACTCCATTTTAAGAAGCAATAAAACGTCCAAACGAGCCTAATTCATATTTCTACTTTTAAAGGAGTATAATCAGTGTAAGAAAAGTAATGCTTTTCACTTCTATAGAGTTTAGAGTATCAAGATAGCTTAAAGTAGGGTTTGTTGGTCTAGAGGGTTCTTGTACCAATTGAAAACTAGCGAGTCGCCTTTTTGGAGTTTTATCATTTTTTGGTTGCTCCTAGTTGCAATTCCGGGTTATTCTCCAGATCTACTGTTTTCCTTGGAACTAATGATGAGAACTAGCAGATATCGATGGCATGATTAAGATACAAGGTCAACTAAATGTATCTGTGAATTTTTGAACTCACTCGCCATCAAGATATTGTTGGGATAATCATTGAAGGCTTATTCTTCCATGTATGTCTGTTTTGATTAATAGGAATACTAAATAGGTAGGATTTCATTTGAATAATAATTACAACCATAAGATTTTCTTGTCTACCATCCTTGGCTTATCCTTGTACATGGCTTTAGTTAGAACACACAACCCATTATAATGCAGATTTCTCTTCATCAAAATCTCACTCACTTTTTGGATAGAGGAGCTTAACACATTCCATACATTCTTTTCTAGACGAGGGAATTCTGAATCCTTAACAGGTAAACTGATAGCAAAATATATAAAATAAGAATATATGTTAAATCAACAAAAAGAGATTATCAGATTCTTGAAAACACATGGAATGTTTATTCTTGCATAGTTGAAACATCATTCAGTGAATGTGCCTATCTGGTGGAAAGGTAAGAATATGATTTCCGATGAGTGGCTAGTGGACATCCCGCTACTGGGTTCGCGCTTCTCGACTGGATCAGGTTCTTGGCGCATCCTCCCGGCTAAACATGACTGAATGCTGCCATGAGGCTGCAATCCAACAAAAATATAAGATTTTCAACAATAAAGAAAATTCAGCAATAAACTTTCCAAATGCACATTAAGGGCGTGTTTGGTTCGGATTTGTCGTTGTTTTTATAGGATTAGCGAATCAGCAAACCCAATCCGGCCGCTGTATATTTCCGGCAAATCCGTAAATCCAGGATTTACGGATTACGGCATAAAATCCGGTAATCCGTTCTAAATCTAATCTCATTCCTATCGGCATCTTAACGCGCAGTCGCGGAAACTTATTCCGCCCCTTGCGGCACAATCTGTTAACTAACTCAGCAGATTTACCAGGATTAAAATTTTGTCATCAAAACTCTCAGGATTATGAGCTAGGATTTATTAATCCGGATTTACATGATTTAGTAAATCCTTCTAAATGAATTCTCTATCAACAAAACACCCTCCTAAGCAAAACATGTTTTATAAATATGAAATTACTATCTGATGAAGGCGGATAGTATTTTTAAAGCGGGCGAAGTTCTAGTCAGGTTGATCCAGGCTCTCCTGCGCTGTCCCTCACTCAGATACCCATCAGCTTGAAGATTTCCTTCCATACTTTTTCATAATAACACAATGGTAAAGGAAATTGAAACAGGAGCTCCTCTCTGGAGATTTCAAGAGATCGGGAGATTCCATTTCCAACTTTCTCAAGTGAACCACGAGGAAGGTTCATTTTCCTCACATTGCAACTCTTATGTTTGAACAGGAAGCCTGAGAAGAGCCATCAGGAGGGTGGCATGGTAATAACTAAATTGGCTGTTTACAGTTATCTTTAGAGAAAAAATAATACAATGCTTTAATAGGAATTCGGGAGGCTTGGTGATCTCCTACTTGTTCTTGAAGACGAACTAACCATTCAAGAACCATTTGTAGTAGTATAGTTACCTCAAACCAGAATAGATGAGTCATTTTCTCCTCCAAAATTCAAGTATTTGGGTTGATTCCATAAAGAGTAACCTTTTAATTTGAATCAGGATAGGTTTTGCGGAACACGTAAGTTTTTGCAGTGAGGGTGCTGATAGTGTAGAAAAGGAGTTGATCCAGAGCACCTTGCTTTTGAGAGAAATTGAAGGGCTTTTTTGTGGATAAAGCCCAAATATTTCTTAATTTATCAATTTTTGGGAGAGGTATGGAATTTTCAGGTTCGAATGCTAGCTTTATCATCTCTTGCCACATGTTATTCAACAAATAATACCAAAATTTTGTAGCATTGTCTGGAATAAGCTTTTGGTACCGTTCGATTTGATAATTTTTGTTAGTCTAACAGTTATTATACGCTTAACTCTGGGCATTGTCAACAGGTGGCATTCTTAAGATTTAAGAAAATGCGGGAAATAAAGCTTCAAATGAAGACCCGACGTCCTGCCGAAGACCCGACGTTCTGTTCAAGGCCTGACACTCGGTCCCTACGTTCTACCGAAGACCCGACGTTCTGTTCAAGGCCTGACACTCGGTCCCTACGTTCTATCGAAGACCCGACGTTCTGTTCAAGGCCTGACACTCGGTCCCTACGTTCTATCGAAGACCCGACGTTCTGTTCAAGGCCTGACACTCGGTCCCTGCGTTCTGCCGAAGACCCGACGTTCCGTTCAAGGCCTGACACTCAGTTCTGACATCTCACTTAAATACTTGATTGTAATCGAATCACTCTTGGAGGTGACTCAGCTCTTTGTAACCAATTCAAAGTCTAGTGGAATCATTTTCAACTGGGCTAGGCCTCGTGGTTTTTCCCTTTTAAGGGTTTTCCACGTAAAAAATCCTTTGTTCTCTGTGTGTGTTAGTTATACGTGCAACGCTAAGACGCAAAATTAAATCTCTATCGCCACGTATTTTCTAGCCCGCAACAATGGATAAGAAAAATTCAGATGCAGATATAATTGATTTTGAAGGGGTGGTGGAGCCTTTGAGCTTGTGGTTCATAAGCAACTGTCAAACACCGAGCTCGAACTCATCCCACTATAAACGAGCTAGAGCCGGTTCACGAGCCTCAACGGGATTTTTTAAAATAATATTAAATATTTTAATTTTTATTAAATATTTTAACCATTTATTATTAATATGACAAATATGATACATAACATGATATACATGAATTGATACTATATGACATGCATACAATAGTAGTAGAATATTACTTAATATGACAAATATACTAATATACATGAAATGAACTATAGATTAAAATAAATAATAATTTATAGATAAGCATAGATTCATGACAGACTTTTTTGCGTTGTAATTGGTATGGGTTTATGGATGACAAATATACTGATCATTTACATAGCAACTGATTACTGATTATAAGTTACATTGCTTGTATTGGTTTTCATTGCTCATATGAAATGATAATGTTCATATTGTTTGTTACTTGTTCTTATTGCTACATGTTCATACTAATTTAGATAGAATCATTACATGCATATTATTCTCATTATATTCCTTTGATTACAATTGTAGGTTCTAGTAACCTATTAAGTCGTAAGCTCACTTTGTGACTTTTGCATATTTTGACAAAGTCGGCTTGTCTAATTTTAGGACTTTAGGTTTAGATTTCTATATTTTATTCTTTTGTAGTGATAGGTATTAAAAGAAAGACTAATGTACTTATTATGTACTGATTGAACTTAGATTATCTCTAACTGAACTGCATATGGTTGTATGACATTCGTCATTCGCTCCATTCGAACGCTAAATCGCAACTTCGCAAGCCAAAATTCAGTAGGTGAACAGTGCAACTCCAATATTAGTGTTACACTGTTCACATACACCAATTTTTTGTGTTACAGAATTTGTTGAAGAAGCGCTCAAAAGAAGAGAAAGATGGTTACCTTCGCAACAAGATGAAGAAGCACACGAAAGACAAGAAATAAATGGAGTTCAATTGGAGATTAATTCATACATTTTGGAGTGGAAAATGGATTTTTCGGTTGGAGATGCCCTTATGACTATTATAAATGAATTTTGAATGAACCATGAATATATAAAAATATTTTGATGTATAAGGTTGCTTATACTGGTTTTTATTTAAATGAATGAAATTAGTGTCTCTAATAGATTAATTAAAAGATAAAAGAAATAATTATTTCACATGTTAATCTTATGGCATCACATGTATGCCGATGACAAAGCATCAAATGCAATATGATGATGGTCCTATCGTGATGCCCTTGTGGAACTCCGAGATTCTTCAAACATCTCAATTCTCTTAAATCTCAAGTCAATGCCATATTCATGTAGAAAGTGGGGCATATTTATAGATTTTGAGAGTAACATGCCTTATAAATATAGAGAGAATATGAAACACTCAATCAAAGAGTCCGTATTAATTATATTGATGATAGACATTTCTTGTCACATTTAAGTAATTTAATGACTTTGAGACTAACTAAGCTTTACCTCATTTGGTTTGTTTCTTTGAGATGCTGAATTTGATTATAATCATACAATATTCAAAGATCATTTGATCCTCCAGTTAAGATCTAAAAATTTTCAACTATATTTCAAGTGCTTGATTCGAGCTCATTTTAAATCGAATCAAATCATTTTTTGTTGATGAATTAGTCTTCTAAAATCAATCAACTTGACTATAAATTTGTTGAAATTAGAGTTCAAATTATCTATAGCTGAAATATGAAAAAATCTCCCTTAAATTTCATCAGAGATTCATACTTGATCAAGCAAATTTTTGCGCGACGTATCAATATTCATACCACACCTATAAATAGGCATCTATGCACGGAAATAATATCATCAAATTCTCTCCTAAAACACCATTCTTTAGCACAACAAATGATTTCATCAGATAAAACTAACACAGCAACCATGATAGTATAGCAAGTACATTATATGTAAATCCCCTCCTAACAGAAATGTAATCACCTACAAACAAGTTTCCTTTCTCTAGTTTATGTCGTCATGCCATTGTTGTTTGCACTAACCTGAGAAGATCACTTCTGTATGAATTTAAATCGAGGCTCAAGCCTCCTCTTTGCTTCTTGTTATCATCCTGTACTGTTAAGTTCATCTAAATCGATTTTATCATACTTTGTAACTGTAATGATCAAAATATAGGATTAATGTGCAGTTGTATCAAACAGGCCTTTTGTTTTGCCAAGTATAAATGTGAATGGTTAAGGACATATAGATCAGTGGAGTGGAAAAGAGTGGAATCAAGTTTTTTGTTTCAGTCCATCTTTATTTTCATCCAGTTTGCTTCTCTGAAGCACTAAATCAGTCTGCAAAAGCTGCTTACACCTATGGTGGAGATCCAAATGGATTTTCAGGGAGCTCTATGTGATAACTGCAATAGAAAGGAGCAGGAAATAGGGATTATTCAATTGTTCGATTCTCGTAATAAACAAAAGGCAGTGCAAGATTTTTCAGATGAAGCCTTATAACTAATATGCGTTTGGAGTAGAGAACATGGATCAGATTTTGGTTTGATTAAGGACTAAATATGTGAAGCTTAACTGTATGAATACAAGTATCTTTACCTTAAATTATTGGCTTAACTGAAACAAGAATTAGCTGATTACTAATTAAGGCTTCGTTTGGGACAATTGTTTTTTACTACTTCTTAAAGTAGTTCTTTAGTATAAAAATTAAAATATATATACTAAAATGCTGTTTTAAAAAGCAGTAAGAAAGCCGCTCCAAACGAAGCATAAGTATAAGATGCATATCATGTTTCTCACCTTTCCATGTCGCTGTAATTGTAGCTTGTATTTCTAGTTTTGACATTAGTAGATAGCCCAGTGTTTGGAACATCACGTCTAAGGCCTAAATGATCTTGAAAGGGAAAGTCACTAGGACCTGCGACAAAAAAAAAATCATAAATAAATTTGAAAGTTCAAAGAGAATCTAAGCAAATATTGAATGGGTGCTTAAGGCTTCATTTGTGACGGCTTTTTTATTGCTTCTTAAAACGGAGTTTTAGTTAAAAAAATTAATTTTGTTTTATTAAAACTCCATTTTAAGAAGCAATAAAAAAACCGTCCCAAACGAAGCCTAACTCTCATATTTCTACTTTAAAAGAGTATAATCAGTGTAGAAAGTATGTTTCACCTTCTAAGAGTTTAGAGTCATCAAGACCATAGCTAAAGTAGGGTTGTTGGTCTAGAGGTTCTTGTACCAAATTGAAACTAGCGAGTCGCCTTCTTTGGAGTTCTATCATCTTTTGTTGCTCCTCGAGTTGCAATTCGGTTATTCTCGAGCTATCGGTTTTCCTTGGAACTAATGATGAAGAACTAGCAAGATCATCGATGCATGATTAAGAATAACAAAAGGTCAAACTAAATGTATCTGTGAATTTTGAACTCACTCGCCAAATCAAGATATTGTTGAGGATAATGCATTGAAGGCTTATTCTTCCCCATGTATGTCCTGTTTGATTAATAGAACAATACCTAAATAGGTAGGATTATCAATTTGAATATAAATTACCAAACCAGTAAGAAATTTTACTTGTCTACCATCCTTGGCTTATCCTTGTATGGCTTAGTTAGAACACGACAACCACATATATAATGCAGATTTCTCTTCATCAAAATCTCACTCACTGTTTCTGGATAGAGGAAGCTTACAAATCCATACATTCTCTTTTCTAGACGAGGAATTCTGACATCCTTAACAGGTCCAAACTGACTAGCAAAAATAATATCAAAATAGAATACTATTGTAAATAACAAAAGAGATTATCAGATTCTTGAAAACTACATGGAAATGTTATATACTTGAAGTAGTTGAAAACATCATTCTCAGTGAATGTGCTATCTGGTGGAAAAGTAAGATATATCCGATGAGTGCTAGTGGACATCGCTACTGGTTCGCCTCTCTCGGACTGGCATTCAAGGTATCTTGGCGCATCCTCGGCTAAAATGACTGAATGCTGCCCATGAGGCCTGCAATCCAAACAAAATAAACATATAGATTTCAACAAATATAAGAAAAATTCAGCAACTAAACTTCCAAATGCACATTAAGGGGGTGTTTGGTATCGGATTTGTCGGTCGTTTTTAGTAGGATTTAGCGTAAATCCAGCCAAACCCAATCCGCGCCGCTGTAAATCCGGCAAATCCGTAAATCCAGGATTTACGGATTTACGGCATAACTCCAGTAAATCCGTCTAAATCCTAATCTCATTCCTATTCGGATTTAACGCGCAGTCGCGGAACTTATTCCCACGGCACAATCTGTTACCAAACAACTTCAGAGATTTAACATGATTTAAAATTTGTCATACCAAACACTTCTCAGGATTTATGAGCCTAGGATTTATTAAATCCGGATTTACATGATTTAGTAAATCCTACTAAAATTGAATTCAATCCTATACCAAACACCCCCTAAAGAGCACAAACATGTTTATAATATGAAGATTACCTATCGATGAGGCGGATAGTATTCTTAAAGCGGGCCAGAAGTTTAGTCAAGGTGAATCCAGGCCTCCCCTGCCGCTGTCCCTCACTCAGATACCCATCAGCTTGAAGATTCCTTCCATACTTTTCATAATACAACAATGGTAACAAGGAAATTGAAACAGGAGCTCCTCTCTGAGATTTCAAGAGATCGGAGATCTCCATTTCCAACTTCTCAAGTGAACCAGAGGAGAGTTCATTTTCCTCACATTGCAACTCATTAATGTTTGAACAGGAAGCCTGAGAAGAGCCATCAGGAAAGGGCTGGCCATGGTAATAACTACAATTGGCCCCATGTTTACAGTATCCCTTAGAGAAAAAATAACAATGCTTTATAGGAAATTCGGGAAGGCTTGGTGATCTCCTACTTGTTCTTGAAGACGAACTACCATTAAAAGAACCATCTTGGTAGTAGTAATAGTTACCCACAGAACTAGCTGAGTCCATTTTCTCCTCCAAATTCAAGTATTGGGCTTGATTACCAAAAGAGTAACCTTCTCTAATTGAATCAGGATAGGTTTGCGGAACAAAACCTAAGTTTTGCAGTGAAGGGTGCTGATCAGTAGAAAGGAGTTGATCCAGAGCACCTTGGCTTTGAGAAGAAATTGAAGGGCTTTTTGTGGATAAGCCCAATAATTTCTTAATTTCATCAATTTTGGAGAGTAATGAATTTTCAGGTTCGAATGCTAGCTTTATCATCTCCTGCTCACATGGTTCATTCAACAAAATAATCCCCAAAATTTTGCTAGCATTGTCTGGATCAAGCTTTTGTACCCGGTCGATGATAATTTTTGTTAGTTCTAACAAGTTCATTTTATACGCTTTAAACTCTGCCATTGTCAACAACGTGGCATTCTTAGATTAAGAAGAAATGCAGGGAAATAAAGATTCAAATCGATTTAGGTTATTTCTCATCATAAAACCCTAACTGTCGTAAGAACAAACATTTACGGCATTCCAGAAACAAACCAATAAAAAGCTTCTGGTTCAAGATGAAAGGGCAAAATGCCTACAGAGGTCTAACAATTACGAAGAAGAATCAACAAAAACTCCAATGTCTCTTCCAAGAAGACAGACTCGAGTAACCTCAAGAAATCAACTGAATCATTCCAATCATCGAGCAACTGGTTCTGACACTTCAAATCAAGAAAAATAAAACTTCGGAGCATTAAAAAAGGTAGTTTTGAACCAAAAAAATGATTATAAATGCATTTTTTACCAAAAAAAAAAAAAAAAAAAACAAGGAACACGAAATCATTTGAACAAAAAGAAAAACCTAAAGTGAAATCAAATGGCAAGAGTAAATCCTACATGAACCTTCTTCCCCGCTCGATTAAAATCACAGACACTGAAAATATTAGTAATAATGCTGTTGATAATCAACAGATTAAATTAAAAATACGCTAACCTCCTCCCACTACGGCGCATTGCCACAGGACCGGAGAACCGTAAGCCAAATCAAAAAAAGCTGTAGCATTTAGTTTTTTTATTGTTCTCAGAAAGCGCAATTCAAGAAGTGAGTGGATTTTCTCTATATTTTTATTTTTATTTTTACATGTTGACTCATTTATTATAAAACTAAAAAGAAAGAAAATAATTTAATTTAAAAAAATTATTTCAAAGAAATGATTAAAACTATATTAATAATCTTTAAAATATTAACTTTTTTATTATAATATAATTTATATCAAAATATTGTATTATAATTTTATTTAATAAAAAATAGAAAATAAGAGAGATAAAGCTATTAACTATTTTTAAATGATTTTATGTTTAACTTCTTCAATTGTAATATACTTTAATTATATTTATTAGTATTTATTAAATAGATTAATTATGTACTGACAAATTGAGTTAACATATTTTGATTCAGATTTAATTAATTTGTTAATTAATTACATTAGCACTAATAAGTGGCTGGGAAGAGTAGGGGTATTGTGGGAATGATGAAAGTTCGGCTCCTAAGAAAGATGACTAACCGACGCGGCACAGAGATATGGGGCCGTTACGGAGATTTCTTCGGTCAACACTCAACATTCCTTATCCGTCCGTATTGACAGATTCTATTTTTTTTAATTAAGTTAATTATCGATTTAATTTGGGGTTTGAAAGTTTAATGTTCAGATGAATTTGATTAAAAGGTTCCTTTTTGAGATAGGTTTTTTTAGTGCTATCTAAAATTATTTTCTATTATAAAAATTTCTAATTTAAAAAATTTTTGTGTTGTGTCCTGGACTATTCGCGGCGGTAGAGAAATATAAAATTTAATGTTATAGCGTTGTACGAAGATCCAGAACGCAATTAGATAAGAGAGAGGGTGTAGCATTTATAAGACACTAAGATTTTTACGTGAATAATATCTGAAAAGGGGAAAAAATCACAGGGCCTAATCTAGTTTGAATGAATCCACTAGTATTGCAGTTGATTACAAATGATGCCCTTCATTGGGGAAGACCTTAACTTGATGTACAACTTATAGAGTACATTACATGATAAGAATATAAAGAATCACTGTTGACGTGTTTGTTTAGTCTGAAGGACTGTAGTCGGTAGACAACGTAATTCAGAAGGATTGTAGTCGGCGGGCGACGGAGGTCGGAAGGATTGTAGTCGCTGGGCGACGTAAGTCAGAATGACCATAGTAAGCGGGCGACGGAGGTCAGAAGGAATCTAGTCGGTGGGCGACGTAAGTCAGAAGGACCGTTGTCTGACGATGGAGATCAGAAGGACGGCATTAGGTAGAAGTCCAGTTATGGATAGAAATCCCACATTAGATAGTTATCTGGCAAAAATCCAACAACGGACATAAATCCGATGTCAGGTAGAAATCTAGCGACGAGCAGAGGTCTATCGTTGGGTAGAAGTCTGAATTCAGTCTACAGTCGGGGAGAACTTCGACGTTAGATGGTATTCGGGAAAAACTCCGGCGTCACTTTGAGATTGGGAAGAGTTCCGACGTCACTGGAAAGTCGAGCGGAATTCCGGCGTTACTTGGAAGTCGAGCAGAATTCCGACGTCACTTGGGCGTCGGACAGAATTCCGGCGGTGGTCGAGGAGGAGTTTCTTCCCTCCTATCATTCTTTTCTTTTTCTTCTTGCTTCGGTCCCCTCTCAAGAGAAATGAGGAGCTATTTATTGTTTTTTAAGGATAGCATGACCTGTAAATAGGAGGAGGAGCAAGGGCAAATGTAGAGTGGTTTGGATGGACGGCTGATATTGAATCCCTTAATCTTGGATCGTTCTTCAGACATTTGAAGGTCTTAATGATATCGGAATTTGACGATCTTGGGCTCGTTGGATTCGTCTCGTCGTGCCGCTCGATTCGATTATAAGCATGTTATGTTTGGAAACCGTTTTAGTAATCTAAATTATGGTTCGAACCTTCCAACAGCGCTTCGGGTCCTTAACTCATTTTGGCTCAGATTGAGTTGAATTTGGTGTCGTTGGGTTCGTATTTCTGTGACGCTCAGTTCGACTATAAGTTTGTTGAAATCAGAATTCAAATGATCATGTATTTAATTTTGAAGTTTCCGGATTGATTTTGCCTCAAGATTCGTGCCCAATCAAGATAGTTTTTTTTATGACATATCATTTTGTATTAAAAAAGTTGTTTTAACAAGAAGTAAGTCCATCCCAAGTTTCGTTTGAAATGGCTTTCTTATTGTTTTTTAAGTAACTTTTTAGTACAAATTCTTTTATTTTTTTACTAAAAGACTATTTTAAGAAGCATGAAGAATGATATTCCAAATAAAATCTAGAAACTCTATAATTAAAATAATGTAAAAAATGTTGCTAATTTCATGCAAATTAAATTAAAAACAACTTTAATTTTAACCAAAACTAAATCTTCAAATGTCATCGTAAGACATTAAAAACTACTTTTTTATTAGAGGGTTAGCATTATTAGTAATAATAATGTTCAAATTTTAAAACTTCATTAATAATAATTAAAATTATTTTAATGAAGTTTAAATTTTACTCATTCAAAATTTATGACGGACAATAAAATATATGAAAAATAAGCTCCTATATTTTAAAAGATAATGATCTCTCTCTCTTCCCCTATACTTATGTCCTATTATAATAAGAATAACCAATGTCCATTTCACTAGAAATTCTATATCATAATTTTTTAATACAAGATCAAAGTCATTCATTCTTATTAATATTATTAAAATCAAAGGCATAAGAAATTTGAAAAAAATTTAAAAATTAATTAATTATCATGCATAAATTTTTTTTATAATAAATTGCCCCAAATACATGAAATGATAGTTATTATTTCAAATTAGATATATTCAAATGTTTTGAAATTAAATAAATAACTTGATGCTGACAATTGGATATATTTGATGGTCTTGATTAGTAAAATACAAATATAAATTCCTATTTTTAATAGGACTTTTATCTATCATTTGATCATTATTTTAACAATTTTGATACGATAAAATTATCATAAAAATTAATCAAATTTAATTCACAAATATTATTGAATAGTATAGATGTCAATTAATGATGTGAAGTTGAATTTAAAAATAATATAAAAATACAAGTAAAAAAATAAATAAAACTTCCTCTTTCATATGGATGCCCTACTTCCTAACTAATGATTCTATTAGTTCTCCAACCTTTCTCCTTATTTTTTATCCACAAGCATTTTCATAAGCAAGCCAAACATTTGGATCAACAAAAGAAGACCACATAATTCTTTTGTTCTTTCTGACTAAAAACATATTGACCACCAAGAACAATCTATATAGACTGAAATCAACCCTAACTTGGCTATCATAAAATATCATTTTGATAATGACCCCCTCATAGTTTTAGTAGTCATGTGTGCCCACTTATCATGATTCTTATAATATGAGCCATTAAAGTCGTGATCAAATGGTCCTATGATGATGGAGGACTCCGATGAGTACTGAAGAATGAACTGGCACCTCACATGCTAGTGGACCCAACATGTTCTTCTCTATATTCTACTTAAGGAGAAATTATTCTGTGCGGACACCAAGCGCAGTTCACCGTCCGAAGACTAACCAGAATGCGCCACGTCAACAGTACTGAGCGGTACAGAGCTGCGGTACGAAGCAGAACGGAGCCGAATATCAAGCAAGGGGTGATGTGGCGCATTCTGATTTGATCTTCATACATCATTTGGCGTCCGCACAGAATAATTTCTCCTACTCTTAAGATGGTAATCCATGCTAGTATGTAAATTAATTGAGTTGAGTTGATTAGTATTATGTTCAAATTTCATTTATTTTTCTATCGAGTTTAAATCGACTAATGGCCTGAAATTTAAAATTATATTTTATTTTGTTTATTAATTTTTTATCAAGTTCGAAGTTTAATCGGGGTTTAAACAAATTAGTTACATGTTTAATGCTAATTATTTAAACGTATATACTTGTTATTAGAAATAAATGAATTTATGAGTTTTAATTAAAATACATGTAGTTCACTAAGTATTACTTATGTTGTTAGATGAATATCAAATAATTATAAAATAAAAACTACTCTTATTTAGATATTTATTTGATGCATGTATCATACTCATACCTTAAATGATATACTCAATATTTAAATTGTATAGATATATGCAAATTAATATAAAATCATGAAATAAATAAAAAAGTGAGAAGATAAATAATTATTTAAAGAATATTTTATCTCGTGTCCAACAACAAATGAACATATTCATGAACATATCAATATTTAAAATCGTTCATGAATATGTTGAGAATTAAAATTTGTTCATTGCTCAAACAAACAAACAAAACGGGTCTTATATAAATGAATATCAAGTTGTTTCTCGAGGGCACTAATTTACGAGTAACCCGTTGATTGAGAACTTTGACTCCCTCATCAGCACCCAGATTTGAGACGAACATATGTGATACATTTTTGTATTATGATACGCTACTCACAATTATTAAAAAGGGAAGAAGAAGGTAATCTTTGGCCAATCTCAAGTGGCATATATATTATATACCCACTTGCAGGAGACCTTTCCCTTTCTCACAGCCTTTCACCAAATGATGAAGCCATTGCATCCATTAAAGCTTCTTTTCATGGTGGGTATGAATGATAAAGGTTCACATGGGATGTTTGGAATGTTTTCTAGGCTTTGTTTTATTACGTTCAAAGCCCACTTATAGATATTATAATCTGGATGATAGCTTCTCCATTTCTAGGAATCCGTGCTATATAAGTTTCTTACACTAGATTGAGATTCTACCAAGGTTTTAAAAACTGGACCAAAAGAAGCAGAGGTCCACGATTTGACCGATTCAACCAGATACCAATTCCATCGGTTGAACCAGCCGGTCCAGTCCGGTTTTTAAAACGTTGGATTCTACTATCATACTATTTGACTTGTTGTACAGTTTAAGACTTCGTTTGGGATGACTTTCTTACTGCTTCTTAAAACAGTTTTCTATCACACAAATTTTAATTTTTGTACTGAAAATATGCATTAAGAAGCATAAAAAAGTTGTCTCAAACAAAGCCTATATAAAACAACAATAATATCAAACATTTATCTCATTATATTGGGTCGATAACATGAATCATTTTTTCTATTGTGTCCTATGAAGAGTTTGAAGATATTAAGAGAAAAAAATGCAAAATAGTTATTACGCAATGACTCGTGATATATGTTTATTTAGAGTATGTTTGAGATGACTATGATTACCTGTAAAAAATAATTGTAGAACTATTATGACAAAATAGTTAACTTTCTTCCAATCTGCATTAAATTAAAATTTGCAAGAATTTACTTGAGTGAAAAAGGGATTTTGCAGCAAACCAAACATTCCAAAGGTTCTAATTTAACTTCATCAGCTTCATCAACTTTACTTGATCAAATAACATAAAATAAGGAGTAATTTACAAACATATCACAAATTCTTCCATATTTATATATCTAACATCTAAATTTTTATATTTAGATATACATTATTTTAATATTTAAATCATATCAAAATATATACATAAAAATATATATTTTATTTGGAATACTTTGTCATGATTTTAATTTCTTAATGTTTTACAAGTAAATATAAAAATTTTGGTGTTAGATGTAAATAGATAAAATATTATGGTATGTATGTAAAACCTTCTGTTAAGATTCAGAATCTGAAAAAATCTACAGCAGTAAATAAAAAATTCCAGCAAAAGAAAGGAACATAACATATAATCCCTTTCAAAAGAAGCACCTTAGAACAAATCCAAATTTTCTTAAAATTCTGAGAAAGCCATTAGAAGAAGCAATAACCAATAGCCCCACTTAGCTATTTTGTCAGTGGCATATAATTTTAAGCTAAAAAATCAGATGACATAAGCCACTACTAAAAAGATTAAGACAGAATTAGAAGCATAAGCACCTCTACTAATTATATTATAGCCCAATAATGCAGAACAAACAAGCTCTAATGATCACATCAACTTTCAATAATGGCATAAAATACCAGAAAAATAAGACCATTATCAGCAAAGTCAGATTCTGAATACAAATATGATTTCTTTTCAGTACCAGTTGATATACACAGAGAGAAAGAGAGATATATAGATAGAGATAGAGAGAGATATAGATAGAGATAGAGATAGAGAGAGAGAGGCAGGGAGAGAGAGAGAGAGAGAGAGAGAGAGAGAGAGAGAGAGAAGAGAGAGAGAGAGAGAGAGAGAGAGAGAGAGTAAACATGTTTTATGTCTGTTACTCTGAACATGAGATATGAATGTCTATTACACTGAAAATAAGATTGGTAACTAAATTACTGATGACCAATAACTTCTTTGTAACTAAGTTATTACAACTTTAAGGTCTTAAGAGAATCAAGAGAGTTTTACTGTGACAGTACTGTCAAATAAGTATATGGTTTGATCTATTCAATAAGATTTGTGTATCCAACTTACTTGGCTTCCATGAAGGCTATGAATCTTCTGCTGGTATAATTGAGGGCTACAGTAGTTGTTTGAATCACAGAACTGTACCTCTATAAACTACACTATTGTTCATTTTCTTCTCTATATTACTGTGTAAAGGCTGTTCGATCCGAACCGAGGAGAGGCGAAAGGACTTTCTGGCAATTGAATCTGGAGTCTGCAAATCAAAGAGATATTAGAAAGAACAAATTAAGGCTTCATTTGGGACGGCTTTCTTACGGCTTTTTAAAGTGGCTTTTTTGTATAAAAATTTTAATTTTTATACTAGAAGCAGCTTTAAGAAGCAATAAAAAAATCGTCCCAAATGAAGCCTAAGACTGTTTGGTACAATTATATTGATATAGTGCTTTTGTTTCAGTTTCTGAAATTCAATTACATAATCTCACATATAATTACAAAGTTGCTTCCTAGCTCAGGATTTGTTTAAGGTGGTTGTAGCTGTTTGTAAAAGCAACTGTAGAGCTGCCATGAAGAAAGTGATTTTTTGAAAGTTGTGAGTATTGTAAATTTCTTTTCTTTATTAAAAAGCCATACAATGGTTTTCTTATAGCTGCAATAGTCCAGTAGATCTGGTTATATAAACCTGTTTCTCAATACAAAATATTTTGAAAAGCAGCAAGAAAGGAGAACCAAATAAGGCTTCATTTGGGACAGCTTTCTTATTACTTCTCAAAGCAACTTTTTAGTACAAAAATTTTCCTTTTTGTATTAGAAAGCTGCTTTAAGAAGCAGCAAAAAAGTTGTCCCAAACAAAACCTAAATGTGTAGCAGTGATCTAAAAAGTAAAATAGTGAGCCCCAAATGGAATTATTTTATATTATCATAAAGCATATACATCTTAATAAGCTAGATTTGTTACCTATCCAAATCATTGCAATTGCTGCTTGTCTGCCAAGTATTATCATCGCCTGAACTTTTATGTGATCCAATGTTCAAAGAATTGAACTGAACTGCTATGAGAATAAAGAGTGTGATGAAGCAAATTAACAATGTCAAATAACATAAAAACTAAAGTTAATTTAAGAGACCTTCTAGAACTTTCGAGTCCTCCAATCCATAACCAAGGAAAGGATGAGCAGAAAGCAGCATTTGCCTCTGCTGCTGCTCGAGGAGTTGTTCTCTCTTCAGATTAAAGGTCGGATCGAAGTCTTCAACCTGCTGCTTTATAGGTAACTGGAAAGTGTCGCATGTTCTTTGTCCTATAGAAAAATGCAGATCAAGTAAATAATTTGCACTGTTAATGAAGTAGGTTATAAAGATAAAAAATGAAATAATGTAGTTTCAGATCCTACTTGTGCTCGGACCGTTATCCATGTCAAAAGAAAGAGGAGATAGAAACATCTGAGCATCCAACTTCTCTGCATATTTCCTGCAACAAATTTTGGTAATAAGAAAATGATATCAGGTATTCAAGTGCGGAGGATATGAATAAAACGTGATCAAATCATGTTGGTGTTGCATGCAATGTCATTTTATTGAGTTGTTTTTTTAAAAAAATTCAAAAATGGGATTCTTATCATATTTTGATAGCAAATGGATGGATGTCGACCAAATATGCTGGCATCTAAGGGTGATCAAAACTTGGACTACAATCTTTTGAACTTACAATCTCACCCTCATCAGCACAAGTTTTGCAATGCATTCTACATTCTTTACACTCCTAAACCGCTCTTATGATCCTTCTTATGTCAATTATTGATCATAACCATCATGTGTCAGTAGTCAGCGATCCACTACGCTCATCAATCCCCTATATAACTTCATACTCTGTCATTGAGATAGGCAAATTTGCTACTCGATATCATTCAATATGGCAATGTCACCCTTGGCACCTTCAACTAAATATTCATCGACACCTTGCTCATGCCCTAGATCTTATATTTCACCTCTCTATGATATGTCATAAGACCTTCATTGAGTTCCCCGGCATCCTCCTTACTAGATGTTCACCCAAGTCCTAGATTACTTCAATCGATGATGACCAATCCTATCATGGCGCATCACTGCATCAAGATTTTGACAAAGCCGAACATTCTCCATCAATCCAAACATTGTGGAGGCCCTTTTTATCTCACATAAATACATTTTCCTAGTTATTATGTCATTCCATCCTAACTGTACTTCTACCATGTTCCACCTTGCTCTTTTGCTTCATCTAATGGACATCTTGTTATGTTTTCTACTCTCTACAAAGCCCTTATTCATATCATCTCAGAACACAAGTTACATCTACTATGTCATAGTAAATTTGTACGCGAGTATTGTCATATCTAAATTATCACATATGCAACTACTTACAATATAAATCTTCAATGTATATTATTGCATGTCCTCATTCTTGTTCAAATTCTTCTATATGATTATTTTTTTCTAATCTATATGAAGGCATATGTTTTCTTGTAATAGAATGATTAAGGATTTAGTCATTTACAATTCTCTCTCCCTTCTACCACTAATAATATATCCAAATGTTCCATCAATATTGTTCATATCCTATAAAATTAACATTTTTCCACAAAAAAAAATACTGTTTCTTAGCCAACTTAACATCAATGAATCTTTCCAAACTAGCTAAATAGTGAATACACGGAACTTAATTCCAGTTGTATAAATCAAATCAAAAAGCATATGAGACAAAATAGCCTATAAATTTAGTGATACCTCTCAGCCAATCTTGATTTCTCTTTGTAGGGTTTGACAAGAACTCGAGCACCACAGATAACATGGGGGTGGCCCATTGCTAAAATTTGTCTCACAGTCTGTGGATGGTAGAAGCTCACAAAACCAAACATCCTTTTCTCTTGCCGTGGGATCCTCACATCATGAACAGGACCAAATTGACTAAATCAACAAAAGACCATTGTATAGATTAACATATTGTGTAAAAAATCATATTACAAGGTAAAATTTCCAAAGAAGCAAAAGAAAGGATTACTTGAAGTAATTCAGAACTTCATCATCAGTAAAAGTGCTTTCAGCAGGGAAAGTAAGATAAATCTGATGAGAACTAGAACCTCCATATTCATTTCTTTCACTCCTGAATTCCATGTACTTTGGAGCATCCTCAACAAGAACCACAAAATGTTGTCCATGAGGTCTGGAATTTGAATGTTACACATTGAATTTCCTAACATTAACTCAAATACCTCATACTAAGGGGTTGTTTGGCATTGGATTGGATTTAATTTAGTAGGATTTAGTAAATCCAATAAATCCGGATTTAGTAAATCCTGAGGCTGTTAAATCCAGAAAACTAATTGGTATGATAAATGTTAAATCCTGAAAAACTGTTTGGCAACAAATTGTAGGATTTGGAACATCACGACACGGGCGCCGCAGGTGATATGCCGCTCAACTGTAAATCATGTTAAATCCACGAAGGAATTGGATTAGGATTTACCCGGATTTACGCGGATTTGCGGCGTAAATCCGTAAATACAGGATTTACATCGTCGCCGGATTTACAATCACGCAAAATACCGTTTGACTGGATTTAGCGTAAATCCGACTTAAATCCCGCTGTAAATCCGATACCAAAAAGCCCCTAAAGATCGCAACATAAACATACTGTTACATACCTATCCATAAGCCTAACATTTCTCAATTGGGCGAGCAATTTAGTAAGGTTAAAACCAGCTTTTCCATGTCTTTGACTTTCACTGAGATAACCCTCAGCCTGAAGTGCTTTCCCATACGTATCCTGATACAACATAGGCAATGAGGCTATAGTAACAGGTAACCCTTTCCTTCCTTTCAAGATCTCGGTAATCTCCATCTCAAGTTTCTCAAGACAGCCAGGAGAGAACATAGTGTCTTCAATGGTTAAATCATTTAAGCCAATTCCGGGCGTTTGATTGATGATATCTGGAGCCTGGCCATGGGAAAACTTGCAGCTTTGTCCATGTTTACAATAACCTTTGTAAAAGTAATGACAACTCAACGGCGACCGGTTCCTTGGGCCAAAACCAGCATCAGGTAAGTAGAAATAACCATGTAGATCAAAACCCATAGGACTTGAAGGTTGTAACTGGTCTTCCATACCACAAACTTCAAGGTTATGAGGATTATGGTCTATGTTTTGAATGAAGTGGTGATGATTGGCAGCAAGATGAAGAGGTGCCGGTACACGAAAACTCGAAAGAGAAGAAAATGGAGGATGAACTGTGTGATTATGGGAGACAAATGGCTTTAAATGTTCAGAGGAACTGAATTTGGGAGATGACATGAAATAGTACTTTGCCTCAGCAATAAGCGAATGTATATTTTCTTCATCTCCCATGGCATATTCCATCAATTCTTCAAGACTATGCTGCAATAGAAGATAGCCAAAAATTTTAGTAGCATTTTCTGGTTCTATTTTCTGAATTCTTTGGAGAACTCGTTGTGTGTATTTTCCAATTTCCATTGCTGATCCCTCACTCTGAAAATACTATCATGAAAGAAGAAGATGAGTTAGAAAAGGTTAAACAAAATCAGAGAAGATTTAACATGCAAAAATATCTATATAAATAGATATAGATAACTGAACAAGCATCAAAAACTAAAAAGGGAAATCATTTCATTCAAAACCAAAAGATGCGGCGAAAACAAAATAAAATAATCAACAGAACACGATTGAAAATAATCTCATTTGACTGAAAAATCAAAAGAAACTCCTCAAGCACCAATAGAAATCTAACCAAGCACATCGAAACCCATATCAAAGATGAAGTTTTTAAACAAGAAAACCTAAACAAAAAATCAATTTTTTTTCCATTTTAAGCATAAAAAATAATTCTTGCTTCTCTTACACCGATTACAGAAACAAACCAAAAAAAAAAAATCTTACACTCTTCTCCTGTCTCTTCTTCAAATCTATCCTTCTCTCTCAGCCACAACACTCCATCACTCCTCTTGAGCAGGCTCTTGATAGAGCTATTAAAGAAGCCAGGGAGGCATTTATATAAAAAAGCGGGCCTTTGTTTTAAATCGAGGATTGGGGAAAAATTAAAAGAAAAAATTAAGGTGCAATAAGCAATAATATTTATGACAGCGAGGAACTCATCACTCTAATCTACTGCTGCTTCTGCTTCTGCTTCGGCGCCCCATGATTTATATATTGAAAGGCTCTGCATAGGATAATAAAAGGAAATGTTTTGGGGATTTAAACGATTATAAATAGAAAACATTTTGAATAAATTAAACACTTTACAGAGTGTCATACCGCTAACATTTTTAACTGCAAATTACTGTTTCATTCCTTTAGGACAAAAAAAAGCTTCTTTTATTCAAATTGTATTACAGAAAAGCCCCTGACTTTTATGAAAATTCTGCATTTGCAAGGATAAATGAGGCGATTAGCTTGGGTCGCATGAGTCCCCACCAATAATTCATGAAGTACCAATGACCACTATGGTATCATGCAAACTTATTATTTTTTTTTCTAACTCCTTAAATTTTTTTAAAATAAATTGTTGTGCCTGAGAAAGTCAAAATTATAAAATAATAAAATAAAGAGAAAATAATAGTGAATGAATGAATGGCACTATGAAATAATCATTGATAAAATCCAAATTTTAAATAATGTAAAGGAGCATAATTTTACATAATTTTAAAAAGATGCAAACTAGTCAAATAGTATGGCTAATTCTAAAAAAGTCAAACTATTTGGCGCATTAACGAAAAACGCCGAACAGTTTTGCTAATTCTACATAATATACAAATACAACCATAGGCGGAGGGAGGGGGGCAAGGGGGGCACGTGCCCCTCCTAAAAAAAAATTTCTTGGATGTGTCATATAAAGCCTAAAGAAAAATTTTTATAAAAAAAGTAAGAGATTGAGGCATAATTATTCAGTCACCATTTTTATTACATGTAGTATAATCACAAAAAATAGTTATATAATTTATTGATCTTTTTTTTTTTAGTCAAAATGGATCGCAAAAGTATTGTATTTAATTTGAGATATGTGTAATATACTTTTTATTTGAATTTTTTTTGTTTTGCACTTATTTTAAAGCAATTTACATAAAAATTTAGCAGTGTTTTTATAAAAAATAAGACATAACAATTCCCTAATTTAACATGCAAGAATATGTTTTAGACTTTGTTCGGAATAGTAATCATACTAATTTTCACAATAATTTTCTTATAAATTTTTTTACTCTGGCAACAATATCATATTACATGCCCAAACGGAGACTGCTCCCAAATGACTTTCTTTCCCTCGACCCAAACTGTTTGCTTCATTTTCCCCTTTGCTCCTCTCTTGCAACTCACAGCCTTGAGCACGGTTTTCATTTTCCCTTTCGGTCCTCTCTCGACATGTTATTTGCATTCTTAATTTTGATCTTACAGCTCCTCTTGTCTCTGGTAATGAGTGGGCAAACAGAACTATATTAATGTATTCTAAAATTCCAGATGATATGGCATACCGTTAGAAAATTGACCGCCAAAAAATTGACAGTCAAAAACCACAAAAAAATTGATCGCCGAAAAAATTATACCGGTAATGAGTGATTTTTCTATAATGTTTTATTTAAGCTCCTCCTGAATAAAATTTCTGGCTCCGCCACTGAATACAACTAATTTAATATAATTTGTTTGGGTATTAAGAATTAGTCAAATTGTTTGGCATTTTTCATGTAATGCTTCAAATAGTTTGGCTTTTTATAGAATTAGTCAAACTGTTTGGCTAGTTTGTCTCTTTTCAAATTTTTGTAAAAATATGCCCCTTCACATAATTTAAATTTTGACCATGCTTCTTAAAATTTGTTCATAATTATATGCTTATTATTCATTTTATCTCCTTTTTTATGGAAAAACTTAATATATTTGACACCTATTCAATATTTATTATAGTTCAATATGATGGAGGTTTGATTAAGATTTTGTTAGTTAGGATTATTTTATTTATTAATTAGTTTAAACAATTGATTTCAATTGTAAAATTTAGAAAATTAATCCAATCAAATCTTATTTCAAGCCATTTCAAATCAAACCAAACTTTAATTTGATCAATTAAATTAGATTTTGGATTAACCAAAAAGTAATTAATGTTAAAAAATAATCTAATTATTCTTACTTTAAAAAGACATATATTAAGAAGAATTTCGAATAATTTTTATATAAGTTAAAAATTTTGCACCTAGAATAAATAATACCCATACTGATATTTCTATTATTTGTTTATTTATATCATTTTATTTATTTAATATTTGAAATTTGATAAATTTATTTTTTTATTAGATTGGATTTGCAAAAAAAAATTATAAAAAATAAAAAAAGTCAAATTATAATCAATAATTAATGGATATTTTAACAACCAAATAAGATTGCTTCGTTTCAATCTTTTACTTTCAATCTAACAATGCACACCCTTAAACAACATGGTGAAATTATTTTGTGCGGACATCAAATGCAGCTGAAGACCAATCAAAATGCGTCACATCATCTCATGCTCAGTATTACTTGATACTGTTGACGTGGCGCATTCTGGTTGATCTTCGGACAATGAACAGTGTTCGGCATCCACACAGAATAATCTTAAACATGAGCGCAGTGTAAAAAAGTATTAAGAATTTTACACACACTCCGGTGACCGGACGTAGCTCTACGTTCGGTCAACACTGAGTTACCCAGTATTTGCTCGGTATTGCTTGGCAATAATGAAAAATACCACTCTGTGAAGACCAATACCGAGAAATACCGAGTAATACCGAATTTTTTTAGAAAAAAACTCGGTATTGCTCCGTGTTGCTCGGTATTACTCGGTATTGCTCGGTATTTGTCTTCACATAATGGTATTTCTCGTTATTGCCGAGTAAAATCGACAAATACGTTATTTTGTGCCTGCGACGTGGCGCGATTTAGTGCCGGCCGAACGTAGCTCTACATCTTTTCACCGGACCAAATAAAAGTTCAAACAAAAGAGGGCCAGGAGTAATCTGAGGGAGCAAAGGAATAGCCATGACACTCGCTTCTATTATAGTACAATAAACAAGTAAACAATTCCTATGATACATTAACATTTATTGATGTATCTACAATACTAACATGTGCAACATATATACATTTTTAATGAGAAAATTTATTAAAAATGGTATATATCAAGTTGATGTGTTTTTTTGTTCATTAAAATATAATTTAATAATATTTACATAAATAATAAATTGTATTTTTTTATAAGGCATACATACTTTGTTGGTGTGAGAATGAATATATATATTTATTTATTTATTACATTTTTGGGATGAGATTTATTTTGGTAAAAGAAAGAAGACACCAAAGAGCTTTGACTAGTTTTATCAATTAATGTTCAAGTCTAGCTCAGATTGAGATCTATTAAGAGCATGTTCAATATCTTCTCATCAAAAATCTATATGAAAACCTTCTTAGATCTGACAACAGTATCTTTTTTAATATCTCTAGATTGTTACTAATATCTTCTATGATATCTCTAAAAGTCTCCTTCATGCTGTTTTTCTATGACAAACATCTTCAGGAAAGCTCAAATTTGCTATTTTCTCAAACAAGATTTGATCAACTCAGGCATTCCTTTTGAAAGAGAAGGAAAAAAAAAAACTCATGAACTCATGCAGGAATTTCCAAGCAGAATAGGTTAGTTGCATACCACTTTTGCACGAAATTATTCAGTACGGACGCCGAACATCGTCCGGAGACCAACCAGAATGCGTCACGTCACCCCTTGCTTGATACCGCGACTCGGTACTGCTTGGTACCGCTCAATACCATGGCTCGGTACTACTGAAGTGGTACATTCTGGTTGGTCTCCGGATGACGTTCTGCATCCAATCTCCGCACAGAATAATTTCTTCACTTTTGCTCAATATTACATAATCACATAATTACAAGAGTTGCTATCCTTGTAAGGTGGTGCAGTAGAAGAAATGAAAATGGCAGATAGAAAATAAAAAAAAAGCCACAATAACTATCTTCATTGCCCTGCCAAAAAAAAAATCTTCATTATTTTGAATTTATCTGAGAATTTGAAGTCATATAATTTCTGTCATAAATGATATAAATTTCATCAAGATATCCTGACATAAATTTCAGCAAGAAGAGTGCAGGAAGGGCAAAGCCATAGTAACTTATTTAGCTGAGGAAACAGCAGTACCAACCTGGTTTATATTCCCTGTAAATGTATCATGATCTGCAAAACAGTCTCTACTTCACTTGCTACAAAGAGCTCATTTGTTTGAACTTCTATTTTTCATAAAACAGATTAAGTAGCTGCTAGCAAGATATTTTATGAAGCAATTACATGACTGAATTCTAATAACTCTTTCAATACAAATTTCTTCAAAAGGAAAAAAAAAGCATCTCAACTTTCCTATCCAAATGAGTAGATTCTGCTTTACCTGCTTCTGCTTCCACAAAAGAGACAAAAAACTCAACAAAATTAGCCTAAAACATCTGGACCTTCAGATTTACAGGACTAGTTAAACTGAGATTGTTGGATAATTATAATCGCATTAAGCATATTATGTTTTGTATCGTGTTCATATCTTCATGTTCGTATCGGTATATGATAGGAAGTACTTGTGTTCGCAAGTAACCCTAAGGTAATACTTGAGTTCGCAAGTAACCCTAATCAAAATTAGTGAGAAAACAGAAAGCAAACTGCCGTTTACAGCAGAAAATCAGCAATCCGCAGCAGGTTTCTTGGGAAAAACCGTAGAAAACTGAGAGAAAACGAAAGATTCCACTAGTAGAAGCAGGAAAAACAGCTCAATTCGAGAGGAAGAAACAACTCTCTATCCTTTAGCAAAGCCTAGAGCCAAAGAACACAAACCCTAGATCTCAAATCCTTCTCAAGTTCAAGATAAAAACCTAATTCTAACATTAACCCTTAATTAAAAAAAAAGGAGAGTTACAAATTCCTTAAACAACTCTTAATTCAAAATTTTCCCTCCAAACAAGCATTACTCAAGGTGTGGGGCCCAAAAGAGTGGCCGGCCCCACTCTCTCCTTGCTTGGGCCGGCGGTGGTAAACCCAAACCGGTCCGCTAGGGACCGGTTCAAGCAAAGTAGCCGGCCCCTCCTGGGCCGGCGTAACAGCATATCATAGAACAAATGTCAAAATAAAGTCATATAGGGAAGATCATATTTGTATACTCTTATCACCTTAATGCCAGAAGGAAATCCCTGGTCAGATTGAACAAAACCATGGTAGTGCACTGGACTCCCCTACAGCTCCTCCCTGCTGGCTACATGTGGCAATGACAGTTAAGGACACACAACTAGACAATTATGGTGCGCTTTGGCTAGTTGCAACCTCAATTTGTAAGTGATAATGGAGGCACATGTTATGTTGAGCTGGTGCATTATAGTGGTGGGCTTGATTACAGCTATTACAGAAGAATGTGTACCTGGCTTTATTTTACTTTAGTATATAAAGAGAAACCTTTGGCCCTAGGTGTAGAAGTTTAGTCTTTTGAACACTAGAGACCCCTAGCTTCAGAGAGGTCCCAATCTTAATATGTACTTGCCTTGATCATCGACCACAAGACACCTGCAATCACAGGCCTTCAAATACCAGGCCTGTACCATCTCCATCTTCCTCACTTCCTCCTGCACCACAATGAGAACACACCCAGATTCCTCATATTCATTATTCTTTCTGAAATCTATCTAGAATTCAGTCACATGAATCTGATAGTAAATACTTGACTTCGCAAGTAACCTTAATGGGAATACTTGAGTTCGCAAGCAAAACTAACAATATTTGATAAAGTCAGCGAGAAAAATAGAAGAATTTGGATGGAAGTAGTAAAAATCAGTAGATAATTTTATAGAAATCAAAACGAAGCAAGACGAAACAAAGATACAATCTCAATTCAAGAGGAGGATCGTTCTCTCCCAATCTCTAGAAGAGAAGCCTAGAGCCCAAGACATCAAAGAGCACTCCAAGAGAAACAATAATCATGCATAACCCTAACCTTGGCCTCCCTCTTCCTTTTAATACATACTTCCTAATACAAAGCCAATAAAAGCTTTCCTATAATAAATCAAATTCAAATCCAATTCAAAAGGATTTCTCTGATTGCTGCCCGCCCCCTTTCCTCTCTCTAGATCCCCCCAAAGTGGGCCCATCAATCCCCACATAAGATCCGGCCCAGGCGGGGTCGGTTTGGGCGGTTCAGGAAGAACCGCATCAGAATCATACATGAAATTTTCAGAACTAGCAAAGAGTTTTTATAGCTTGCGTGAGCAATGGAGTTATCTAGCAATTCTATGCAAGCAAATATTAACTGACTCTAAAGCCCAACAGTAAGCAGCCAATGACTATATCTAATACTATGTTGAATTAGTTAGTCACATCATGGATAAATGCTGATCAATAAAATCGACAAATAAAAGCATTTTTCTTTTCTGAAAATTTTTATGACATGTGTAGACTGTTATGAAGTAATTTACACTGAAGAGAATCAAATCACGACAACATACATGAAAATGATGGAATTATAATTTAATTAATTAAAATTTGGTAATTAGAACATGCCTCACGCTTCTCAATCAATGCCTAATCGAAGATATTTTGGTCATCAAGCTCGAAAATTTTCTTCAATTATCCCAGGAGAAGTATATGATGTGCTAGTTCTGGTAAAGGTTTCAAAGTTTGTTACCATCAATAAGAACAAATTTGACAATTCAATCATTACAATAGAGCTTATCGCTTTCATCATCATAATAACTTGGAGATCGCCAACCCAACTAAAAATCCAAAATCAGAGCTTGCAGAGTAGAGACCCTTTGCTTGAACATGTATGCATGCGCATGGAAAGTTGCCATTGAAGTACTTGTAACTGTATAAGAAACACAAATCTAAGCAGGGATGAAAAGCTTGAAAAACAGTTTCAAAAACTCGCCAAGAGCAAAGCTAGTGCCCTCCATGGAGTTACCCATGCAAAAGAAAGTGAAGTTCAAGTCCTTAAACATAGTGTACCATTTATTCCATGAAAGTTGAAATTCTATTATATATTGGCCAAATAAAAACAGGTCAATTGATCAGATAGCAACACGTTGCAGTTCATTTTCAACACAAAACATTACTTGGACGTATTCCTTTTTTATTCTCACTCATCTAACAATTTGAATCTGTAAATAATAGCGATCTGGTGAGCACAAAAATAGATCTGATAATAGAATAAGATAACAAGAATATATTTTTGTTAACTTCATTCGAGACAGACTTATAAATTTAAACATAAGCAAAGATTAAAAACTATAAGCAAATATAAGATATTAAAAACTTAGTTATAGCATTTAAAGCCAATATAAGCAAATATAGAAAACTATGAATTTTGCTATAATAATTGAGCCTAAAATATTGGACAGATACGGACTTTTGAATTCATCCTCCTTTATTTTCATCCAATGCTCCCCATCAAATTGGAGAATGTCTTGAAATGTCAAGAATACCCAACTTATAAAATAATCAAGTGATTTGATAAAAAGGGAACGACATTCTGGTTTTGCAAAAGAATGAAAATGTATTGGTTGTTTCATTATTTTACAGTAGATGTTATTAGAACCTAATGTGGTAAAATAGCTGGTCGTAGAGTGATGTGTAGTAGGATAATGGGTCTAAACAAAGTCAACATATTTGACTAAGGCTTCGTTTGGGACGGCTTTCATACTGCTTCTTAAAGCAAATTTCTAGTACAAAAGTTACAATTTTTGTACTACAAAGTTGCTTCAAGAAGTAGTAACAAAGCCGTCCCAAAAAAAGCCTAAAATAAGATAATTAGATGAAGAAAGGACTAAACCTTTACGAGCAGTAACTTTCAGATAACAAAGAATTCAATTGGCTACATCAAAATGGAGGAATATGGATATTGTATGCATTGACTGAAAGTATTTACAACATATTGAATAACAAGTCGTGGTGCAATGAGACATAAAAGATGACCCATGATTCATCGATAAATTGTTGGTTCGTGAAGGGAAAGATCTTTTAGTCGTAAATGAAGATGCTACTCCATTGAGGAATCAGATAATTGAAAATTAGTCATACCAAAATTAGATAATATGTCTATAGTATAATTACGTTGGCACAGAAAAATTCATCGTTTAAAGGAGAAGATACTTCAATACCTTAAAATAATCAAGGATTAGCAAGTGCTTTTATTGAGAGAGATTAAGCATTAAATAATTCGACAGCGGAGATGGCATCATCACTGTTAATGCAATAATGTCATCAATACAAATGGGAATAAAAATATTAGTATGGTTATGAATATACATAGGATGACATTAGTCTGAAGATGATTGATGAGAATCTCAAAGAATAAGAGTGGTTGAGAATTTAGAGAATCATTGACTAGAAGCTTGTTTAAGATCATAGATAGAATTATTTAATTTGCATACATGAGTCCCTTCCTTAAAAAGGAATTCAGGAGGTACTTTCATATAAGCTTCTTCATTAAGGTTTGATTTGGGATGACTTTTTACTGCTTAAAGTAGTTTTTTAGTATAAAAATTTTAATTTTTAAATTAGAGAGTTGTCTTAAAACGAAATAAAAAAACCGTCCCAAATGAAGCCTGAGATATTCTTGGAGAAAAGCATTATTGACATCAAGATGTAGTGACGAACTATTAAGGATGATAATGAAAAGAATAAGACAAATAATAAATAGTTTGGCCACAGGCGTGAATGTATCATGATAATTGATGCCTTCAACTTAAGTACAAGTTATGGCAACTAAACAAGCTTTATACCTCCCTATAGAACCATCAAATTGACATAATTTTGTAGGCTCATTTATAACTAAAGTGTGATTTTCCTTCGGAAACTAAGCGTAAAGATCAAGTATTATTTAATTCAAGGAGTTGAATTTCTTGGGCCATGGCATCACACTATTTAGCATGGCATGAGAATAACATTTCGGTTCTTGAATTTCAATGACATTAGTTGGCGAGGCTGATGAGAAAGACTTAAATAGATAAAGGAAAATAATTTACTAGCAAAAAATTAGTTAAGAAAGAAATATTATAAGAAATAAAGTCCTTTAGATGATCAATTGGGCAAAAAATTTGTTAAGGATGATTATTTAATGATAGAAGCGGGTGTCGTTGAAGAAGAATTAGTGGAGGGACTGTCCTCATAAATAGATAGAGGATTTGTTGAGCTATAAAGCTGAGAAGACTTGCCAATAATCATGGTGTAATCATTGACATAATTAACTAGATTGTGGGAAATAGAATCACTAAAAAACCATTAGTAGGAACAAGTGCTTGTAAGTGTAATAAAAATGTTCCATCATCATTGATTGGAGTAATGGTAATTGAATTTTTTAATGATTAGAATGAAAGGTTATGATTTAGAAAAGTTAACTCATGAACTATGTCATAACAAGAAATGTGGATTCGACAAGTTTTTAAATCATATATGTGAATATTCATTAGATAAATCCAAGTACACCAGTTAACTCATGGAATATGACATCACAAAAAATAAAATTAACATGTTGAATGTTTTAGATTTATATTTCATTAGATAAATCCAAGTACACCATGAAAAATCATCAAAATAACTAAAAAGAAGCATTATAAATTTCTAGAATGTATAGAGAAAAAACACCAAATGTTAACATGAATTAATTCAAAGCAATGAGAACAACAATTAGTACTTTGAGAAAAATATTCACACGACCGTTTAGCAAATAGGCATACATCACAAACAAAATCTCTAATTATAATAATATTGGGAGAAATTTTAACAAAGAAATAAAAAAAGACGTAGGTAAATAACCATGGCAAGAGTGCCATAGTCAAATTATCACAATTCTTGAAAAGAAGTATAGAATTAAAAACTAAATCTGCATCTATATAAAAAATACCATTTCAAGCTCTGCCACGAGCAATTTTCTTCTTCGTAGCTCAATTCTGAAATATACATTCAAAAGTTGAAAAATAAAAACATAATTTATTAACTTTGTTAACTATAAAATAGATAACAAATTGAATTTAAATGACATAATGTGAAAAACATTCATTAGAGTAACTGATGATAAACCATGAAACGAGCCTACATGTGTCAAATGCGCTTGGGAAACATCGGACAATTGAACTGATAAACTTTTATAAATGGTAGAATATGAAAAAAAAAAATGAAAGAGATGTACTTCCATGATTAGAAGCATCTAAATGAATAATCCAACAAGAGGATAAACGAGTAAGAGCTTTACCTGCCAAAACAACTAATGATACACTAGATTATTCTTTGGCTAGAAGTGCAAGAAGCTTGTTATATTGTTCAGTTGTCAACCAATTGGCTAAGTAGTTGAAAGGGTTGATAGTGGCCCTGATTTCTTCACCTGCTTATCTGGGAGCCATGGGTTTGTTAGCAAGTAGCAAGAACAGCATGTTTGTTATAATGTTCATAGAAAGGAGTACATGTTTGTTATAAAGTTCTTAGAAAGGACGTTGAAGCTATCTTCAAGGCCGAGCTAGTGGTTTAGATGGTTGAAGCACTATGCCACTATTGAATCAACAGTAGGAGTTGTTAGAATTTTCTCCCTTATTGCTTTTCTTCTTGATATATCAAATTATTGATAAGCTGAATTTAACTTTGAATAGCCAAAAAATGATCATAGAGTCATTTTGATCCATTCAAACAAGGATTGTTAGCATGTTGCAAAAAGTAGGAGCATGCTTCTTATAATGTTCACATAAAGAATGTTGAAGCAATCCCCAGAGCTGAGCTAGTGGTTGTGATAGACCGGCCAATTTGATTGGAGGGAATTAGGAAGTTTTCTAATTAAGAGGGAATTATTTAAGAAGGTTCTTAATTAAAGGGGAATTGTTTAAGAATGTTTTAAATAAAAAAAATGTTTTAATTACAATTAGGAATGAATTATTTAGGACAAGAGATCTAATTTGAATTCAAAATCAATGAGTGAATTATTTAGGGAAGAGGATGAATTAAGGGGGATTATTTAGGAAAGTTTTAATTATAATTGGGAGAAAATTAATCAAGGAAAAGAAATCTAATTTAAATTTAAATTTGAGAGAGTTATTTAAGTAAATGGGGCTGATTTGGGAGGGAATTATGGAAGCCTATTTAAGGCTAACAATCGGATGATTTCAGGATTATGTTTGGAGTTTGCTGAAATTAGAATTTCTTAGGTTATTTGGGCTCTAGCCGGAAACTAGAGATTTGGGAGAGTTGGATCTTCCTCTCGAAATGAAGATCAAATTGTATCTTGTTATTTTCTTTCATATATCTTATAATAAAAATAATTTTGGCGTGTTTTTCTTCCTAAATTCTTATTGTCGTTCGCTGTTTTGGAGAAAATTGCATCCACTTTCAATCATTCAAACGCCTGAAGCATTGTTGAATCACAGTATGAATTGTTTGAAATTTTATCACTAGTTGCTTTTTTCTTGACGTACCAAATTGTACATATGTTGTATTAAAGGAAACAGCTCCATCAAGACAATTTGACTTTAAAAAGAACAAAAACGATCATAGAGTCATTTCCTTCTATTCAACGATCTAAAATTTGGTGATGGAAATCTAGTAATGATAATTCTCTCTCATCTAACAGTTTAAATCTGTTATTAATGACGATTTCGTGAATTTCTTTTTGTGCTTACCATTTTTACATTGCATTTGTGTATTGATCTTTCCATTTTATTAGTTCTTAATAATTGAATCAGGTCTCACATAATTACTATGTCCCTGTGCTTAAAGAAACACAAATACAAGTAGGCATGGCAAGCTTAACATAGTTTCGGAACTAGTCATGAGCTGAAAAAATCAGCATACTCAACTGAGTTACCCATGCATAACAAAGTGAAAAGATCAAGTCCTTATGCACAATGAGTGATTCATTTATTCCATGAAAGTTTAAATTCAACTAGATATTGATCAATAAGAAAATGTAAATTGATCAGATTGCAACATATTGCAATTCATTTTCAACGCATAACATCACTTGGAAGTATTCCTTTTCCATTCTCTCTCATCTAGCACTTGGTATATTCCCATATAAATATTATTACATGTGTTTGATAGTTATGATAGAAATTCCTAGTAGTTATCATTATAATATATCCTCACTATTGAGGATATTCTCATTTATTGTATTTTTTATTATTTTATTTTATTAACTATATATAGGCATGCGTATACTAGAATTATGAATCATTTATGTTTTATATCATGGTATCATAGCCTTTCTCTCAACTCTCTCTTCTCTCCCTGTCATAAAATTCATCCAGAACACCTGAGCCAAGAGTCTTAAACTAGCACCATAATAATATATTTTTCTTCTCTAAAAATGTTACAGCCACCTTGTCCCTTATTGATCACTTTCCTATCAATCCATAAGCTGATAAGATTTTCTATCCAATCAACCTAATAAGATTATCAAGAAACTTTTGCACCAATTGCTAAGATTACTTTATCCGAGTCATCCTTTCCTTAGCTATGAATCTTGGTTGATCTCTTTAACAGCTAGATGTAAAAAAAAATATTTTTAAATGGAGATCTTAAAGAAGTACATATGACTTTCACTTGGATTTAAGGTCACTGGAAAAAAAAAATAAAGCCAGTAAACTAGAGAAATCTCTATATGACCTAAAATAATCTCCAAGAGTCTGGTTTGGGAGATTTACTACTACAATTAAAAAACATGAATAACATCAAGGGTAGATTGATCACATCTTATTTTTGAATAAATGACTCGCTGGCCATCTATATCGATGATATTATCCTACTAGCAATGATGAGAAAAAAATTAAGAGACTAAAAGGGAGGAAGCTTAACCAGTGAATTTGAAATAAATCCTATAATATTTTTTGGGTACATAAATCACAAGATTAAAGAAAGAGAAAAAGACCAAAATGGTCCATCAAGTCTTTGTGAGAGATCAAAATGGTCTCCAACTGTTTCGAGGGACCATAAAATGAGGTTTTTTTTTTGTCCAAACATCAAATTTTGGGGTCAATGATATTAAATCAAGGAATATTTAAGTCAATTTTTAATTAAGTTATTTATTAAATGTAATTTTCAACTAACAGTAATTTCTTAACAAAAATTTTATTAAACATTTCTTTAATAAATAAATTTATTAATAATTTTAGTTTTAATTTAAAAATTATTAATAATTCTAGTTTTAATTTAGGATCATTATAAATTATAATTATTATTTTTTTATTAAAGAAATATTTTAATAATTTCTTTAATATTATTACTTGAAAATTATATTTAATTAAAAATGATTAAAATACCCCTTGATTTAATACCATTAACCTCATAAAATAGGACCAAAAAGATCATTTTTTTAGGAGTTTGTCCCTCAAAAGAGTTGGAGACTATTTTGATCCCTCACAAAGAGTTGAAGAACAATTTTGGTCCTTTTCTCATTAAATATATATATATATATATATACTTTAAATAAAAATATGCATAAGATATCTTAAACGGTAACTAGGATGATACGATGCGAAACAAAAAACACTCCTACGAATCCTATCAATAAAATAAAATCAAAAGATAACACTCTCCAAATTGAAACCAACATATGATTGAAAAACTTATTTATCTCTCCAATATTCATCTTGATATCTATTACTTTGTTAGTGTGGTTAGCCAATTTATAAATACTCCCACTAAGGAACATCATGATGAAGTTTATAAGGCACTAAGGTAACCCTAAAATGACTCCTAGGAAAGGCCAATTTGTCAAAAATAAAATATATAGAAATAGAAAAACCTTCATGGATGCTAATAGGGTTGGGTTCAAAATTGATAAAAATCCACTTCTGACTATTGTTCATTTGTATGAGTAGCCCTTATCACATGGACAAGTAAAAAACAGATTTTGGATGCTAGAAGTTAGTTGAAGCAGAATTCAAGGCCATGGATCGTGGAATTTGTGAATAAATCTGGCTTAAGAGATTATTTGAAGATCTAAATATTCACATTAAAAAATCAATGATTATGATATGTGACAAGCAAGCTACATTTATCATTGTTAAAGATCCAATCAATAATGATAGAACTAAACATGTGAAAATCGATAGATATTTTTTTAAAAAAAAATCAATCAAGGATTATTCAAACGCAGAACATTATGACAGGACTCAAGATAGCAAATATCCCGACCAAAGACTTTGACCAATTACACTTCGATAATCTAACTTCCAAGTTATGAATGATCAAAACATATCCTTAGCTTGAGGGGTAGTGTGGAAATTTTATAAAAGCATCACCATGGCCCACAGCAGATCATTATCAAGTAACCTCTCTGACTAAATCAAATGTAGGATGATTATGCACCTCAGCCATTTGTTAATTCTTGCCTTTCTTATTTGGCTTCTATTAATTATATATCAATTATGTATAATTCTTCCTTATTTTAAGGCCCAATAATTAATATCATTTAGCAGCAATAAATATGTACATCTCCTACTGCTAGAATTAAGTGAATAAAAAAATTTTTTTTATATGTCTTGTCCCCAACTTTTAATAAAATGATCCCATCACCTAAAACTACAGTGAAGATTTAAAAATCTGCAGCTTCACTTGATTGACTCACAAACCAACCTCAAAAAGATGCAAAATAGTAGCACGGGAAGCCACCAAAACAACTTATCTCATCAAAAACAATAGAGAAGTGTTTACCTTACTCAAATGAGAGAAGCCTGTTATACTTTTAAGTCAACCTGTAAACGGATGGATTTACAAAAACTCTACTCCAGAAATGAAAGATTAAAGAGCCAATCAAGGTCACCTATAGATGTCGATTCAATGTATATGCCCACAATCAACTTTATATAAATGATTAATATGGCTATGATCTTCCCAAGAATCTGTGACAGTTCTTCTGAACTATTGAATAGCATAAATCAAGAAAGGAAGACCTCGATTACCAGTGATCCATACAAGAGCACGAACCATTTCTAAAATGATGGAAGCGGCTATTGTCCCGCACAATGATTTCACAATTATAAATACTTGATAGAAGCTTTGTCACATTGTGACAGTCATTGCAAACCCGTAAATTTTTAATGATTCGCATTGGCGCTATAGACTCCATATTGATCAGGCAAAAGGCTATGGCGAGCCTCTCGCTATGGTATTCCAATTCAACCTCCTTGTCCTTCTCTTCTACATATAATAACACCTGTGAAGTGTCAGGAACATATCCTGCACATGTTAGCCTTTCTTTCATCTCATTCATCTTTGCATAGATTTCATCTCTCTGAGGATGAGATATATCCCCCACCACAAACTCATGAATTGAACCCATGTGTTCAACCAAACTACAACCAGGTTCCTTTCTCGCACCATTTCTTCTCATTGATTCCCGCAACTTCGAAACATTGTCCCATAATCCAACAGAAGCATATATGTTGGAGAGGAGAACATAAGATCCAGTGGCTCCTGGGTCCAATTCAATTACAGATTTGGCAGCTAATTCACCAATCTCAATGTTCACAAATTTCCTGCAACCACTCAGTAGGCTCATCCAGATTATCATGTTAGGTCTCATAGGCATTTGATCAATAACATCCTTTGCAGCTTCCAGATTCCCCACTCGACAAAGGAGATCGACCAAGCAGCCATAGTGTTCGACTGTTGGCTCAATTCCATACTCACTTCTCATCAACTCGAAATAATGGCGCCCTTCATTCACCATTCCAGCATGACTGCATCCATTCAACAATCCAATGAATGCTATACTATGGGGTCTCAAACCCTTCTCCTGCATTTTCATGAACAGCTTAATGGCTCTATTTGCCATTCCATGCATTCCAAACCCCATAATCATAGCAGTCCAATGACCCAACTTCCTTCTTCTTATATCCCTAAAGATAGAGAAAGCACTTTCAATTTCCCCACACTTCGAGAACATTTCAATGAGACAAATCCCAAGAACACCCTCTAAACTAAATCCATTTTTTTTAATGTACATATAAATTTCCCTGCCCCTTTCAAGCAGAGCTAATCCAGAGACAGCAGAGAGTGCACTAACAAGAGAAACAGCATTAGGAACCTCTCCTTCCCCAAACAATCGTTCATAAACCTCAAGTGCTTCCTTGAAGGCACCAAGCTTTTCAAACCCTGTTATCATTGAATTCCAACTGACCAAATTCCTCTCCGGCATACTATCAAATAATCTCCTGGCAGATCCAATATCACCTTTCTTCATATAACCATGAATCATCGCATTCCAAGCAACAACATTTTTCACAGGCATTCTATCAAACATCTCACTTGCAGTCTCAATCTCACCACACTTCGAATATCCATTAATCATCAAAGCCCATGTGAATGAATCCCGTTCAGGCATTTCATCAAACAGCATCCTTGCAACTTCAATTTTGTCACACCTAACATAACCATCGATCAAAGAGTTCCAAGTCACCAAATCTTTGTCGCAAACACGATCAAAGACCTCCTTTGCCATTTCTAAATCATCACATTTAGAGTAAAAACTCACCAAGCTGCTCTGCACGAAGCTGTGACCACCAAGGCCGGTTTTGAGGGCGAGGGAGTGTACTTGCTTTCCCTCAAAGAGAGCACCAAGCTTTGCACAGCCCTTGATGACGCAAGGGAGGTTGAAGTTGTCTGGATGCGCGGAAGAGGCAGTGAGCATTTGCTTGAAGAGAAGAACGGCAGAATGGGACTGGTGATCGTCAACAAGGCGTTTGATGAGAGAATTCCAGGCGAAAGAGTTTGGTTGCGGAATTTGATCGAATACTGAGCGGGCGTACTCCAGGGATCCCATGTCAGGGTTGCAGTAGACCGTCAAAATGCGGGAGGAGACGGGAAGGGCATGAAAGATACCTGTTTTGACGGCGTAGGCATGGACCTGTTTAAGTTCCGTTGGGGTTTGGCAGAGGCGGAGGAGAGGGAAGAAGAGATGAGTTTGAAGCGAAACCGTGGAGTCCCCAGTAAACGCAGAGGACGGCGGGCATAAAATTGCCGCCATTGATAGGAGAGGAGAAGCAGACCTGGGCTGGGCGTACGTTGAAGCCTGGGGAGACCCTCGGGTTGAAGAGAACGCTGTCGGGTCTGAGACGGGTCATCAGCTTGACCCGGTGAGTTTTTTTTTTTTCCGACAAACTTATAAAGATTTCATTTCATTTTGGTCGAATTACAAATCATTTTTGAATAAAATCATATATATTGATATATATTATTAAAATCATATTTGATAATCTACTAAAATAAAATTCACCTATAAAAAGCTAAATGATGTGGTCCATATAGTTCAAAATTATATTGTATGTGATTTTATATAAATATTTGTTGCATGCAATAATATATCAATATGAAGAAAATTTCATATACACAATTAAAATTAATTAAGAATAGACATAAAAAATTTTACAAATTATATATCACTAGCTTGACTTGTCATTCTCATCTTTGTAAGAGAATGTCATAGATAAGCATTAAAGAGTAATTATTATGGTCAAAAGATGATGATCAAATACTGATAGTCAAATTATAATGGTTGAGTGATGATAGTCGAGCGATAGTAGTTAGTCAATGGAGATCAAGTGATGGCGGGCGAGTGATAGTGATCAAACAATGATGATCGGACTACGTTTGTTGCTAACAGTAATCTTTCCAAATTCAGTAGATCTTCGTATCTCTAAGCTCTTTATAAATTGTGGCCAATTTCATATGAAGAATGGAGATCTATTTACAATTTTTGCATTCTTATTTTGATAATTTTAACCAAAATATCTAAACACTCCATCAAATTACTCATTTTGATTCCCTTGTTGTGCACTTCTTATAGGGTTGAATGTCACTCTCTCTAAGGGCAACTCCAATGGAACGGCAAACACTTGTTTGACGTTCTTGCTTGGCTCCAACTGACCGTCATTTTTTACGTCATTTAATCGCGGATAAACAGTGTGACACCAATATTGACATTGTACTATTCATCTGCGCCAAAATTTGGTCTCTACCAAACTTGTGGAAGAAAGGCGTGAAAAAAAAGAGAACGACGGTTACAGGGCAAAATGGTGTCCGATTGGAGATGAATCACGACATTTTTTTATTTCACTGCATTTTGGAGTGAAAAATGAGATTTTCAGCTCTAACGGCTTGGTGCACACTGTGATAATGCTAATTGTGTTCCCATATAGCATGATATTTTCATAATTTCAACAATAACTATCCTCTAACCTTATCACAAGTGTTATGTCATCTATATCTCCGCTTTTTAGATGAAATTTTTATCTCTATTACCAAACATTGTTATCACAAATAACTTTGGGGTAATGTTTTCACTAGTTTCAACTATATAAGGTATTATTACTCAAGATGAAAATAATCAAAACTTTGTCTTTTTATTATCTTAGGTGGAGTATTAGCATTTAATGGTTATTAGAAAATATTATCGCCATATAATGAGATTGAGAGTATGCATTTTGAAAAAATAATATAACTTTTCTCTCTTAATTATATTTATATTTCGCTTGGGATGACTTTTTTATTTATTTTTAAAACAGTTTTTTAGTGCAAAATTTTTTAATTCAAGAGATTTTTTCACTATAAAGATGATTTAAAAATAAATAAGAAAATCATCTCAAATGAAACTTTAATCTAATTTTTTTTATTTATTTATTTGTTCATTCAATGAATAAGCTCTTTCCCCTTAAAAATGGCAGTGGATAAAATTTATGACATCTTACAATTGGCTTCTGATCTCTTAGGAATCACAATGACACATTTAAAGTACATTTTAATCTTACATAAAGATCAGAGGGCTGACTCATTAAGCTTCAGTTAGGGCATCTCCAACCGAAACTCTCATTTTTCACTGCAAATGCAGTAAAATCAAAAAGTGTAGTGATTCATCTCCAGTGGAATGCCATTTTGCCCCAAAATCATCGTCGTTTCTTTCGCGCATTTCTCAGACGGAGTTCGGTAGAGAGAAAGAAATGGCGAAAGTGAACAGTGCGACGCCTATTAGCCTCCTAAAATTATCTGTACCGTTAGATTATTTACTGTAAATCTGCACCGTTCATATATTTGTTCCTAGCCTATATATAGACCTTTGTATCAAACATTAAATGAATAATATAGAATTTCTTTATCTTGGTTTTGCTGTCATTATGGTATCAGAGCAAACCAGGTAAGGTTCTTTTTCCGATCTTCGTCCTCCTGTCGGTACGTCTCTTCATTTCGTCTTCGTTCTTATTTCTCATGGCAAATCAAGAAATTTCTTCTACATCTTCTCCTACTTTGTCGATTTCGGCTAATACAGATGTTTCTATCCCTGCTTCTTTAAAATTTTTGATGTCCAATGTCAAAACCATTCTCAATACTCAACTTTCCACGGATAATTATTGATGCGGACATCGGTACAAAGATTTGGCGCATCTATCACAGGAGACGTCGCAAATTGACGGCCATGATTTAAACCTTCAATTATGATTTATTTTTCTGCATTTTAGTTCTTAATTAATGTATTTTCCTGTTGTACCCCTAGGATAGTTTATATGAGTATTATGGCCCAAGGGGCAATTTTGTAATTTTTATTTTATCATGTTATGGCCTATATATAGGGCCTTAAGCTATTGTAAAATGATGGTTAATTTGATATGAAAAATTT